ATGGCAGATTGATGGGGAAACAGTGGAAACAGTGGCTGACTTTATTTTCTTGGGCTCCAAAGTCACTGCAGATGGCAATTGCAGCCATTAAATTAAAAGACTCTTACCCTTGGAAGGAAAGTTATGACCAATCTAGACAGCATATTAAAAAGCAGAGACATTACTTTTCCAACAAAGTTCTGTCTAGTCAAGGCTATGGTTTTTACAGTGGTCATGTATGGATGTGAGAGTTGGACTATAAAGAAAGCTGAGTGCCAAAGAATTGATGCTTTTGAACTGTGGTGTTGGAGAAGACTCTTGAGAGTCCCTTGGACTGCAAGGAGGTCCAACCGGTCCATCCTAAAGGAGATCAGTCCTGGGTGTTCATTTGCAGCACATGTTGAAGCTGAAACTCCAATACTTTGGCCACCTTATGTGAAGAGTTGACTCATTGGAAAAGACCTCGATTTTTGGAAAGATTGAGGGCAGGAGGAGAAGGGGATGACAGAGGATGAAATGGTTGGATGGCATCATCGACTCGATAGGCATGGGTGTGGGTGGACTCTGGGAGTTGGTGATGGACAGGGAGGCCTGGGATGCTGTGGTTCATGGGGTCGCAAAGAGTCGGACACGACTGAGTGACTGAACCGTACTGAACAGCCCTTCTCTCTTCGTGGCAGGTGGCTTCTGTCTGATTGTGATATGAGGGTATGCTCCTCTCTAATGGTGATGTCAGGGGAGCTTAGCTCTAATTGAGGTAGGGGTCTCCTCTCTAGTTGCAGTGTTGGCCTCTTCTTTTTGTGTTATGATCTGTGTGGGAGTTCCACTCTAGTTTTTATTTGCATGGGCAGTTTTCTCTAATTGTGATGTGTGGGGCGACCTCCTATCGACCTGTAGCAGGGGTGTCCACTCTAGTTGTGGCAGTGGTTCTCCACTCTAGATGCGACGTATGGGGTGGGCACCTGTTTAGTTGTGGCCTTGTGCTCCTCACTAGTTGTGTCTGAGGATCAACAATCTACTTGGGGCATGCATTTAATTCTCTTGTTTTGGCAGTCAGGCTTCTCTGTAGTTGTGATGTGGTGGGGTTCTCCTGCCTAGTTGTGCTGTGGCTGGGGAAGTCCTCTCTGGTTGTGGAGTGGGAACACCTGTCTTGTTGCATCATGGTGTGCAGCTCTTCTCTAGGTGTAGTTTGCTGGCTCATCTCTATTTGCGGCTTGAGGGGCTACCCTCTAGGAGTGGTGTGGAGCCTCCTCTCTAGATGTGTTTTACGAGATTGCTCCACTCTAGGGGCACGGGGTGGGGCCTCTTTTCTTCATGTGGTGTGTGTGGGCTCCTCTCTAGTTGTGGTGGGGGACTCCTCTCGAGTTGTGTCGGGGGACTCGGTGTTCCTCTTGAGTTGAGGTGGCGCCTCCACTCGACTTATGGTGGGATGGCTCCTCTCTCACAGCAATGTGCAGGGTGGCTTCTGTTTAGTTGCGATGTGTGGGTGGCTAAACTACCTGCGGCATGCGGTAGTCTCTAGTTGGTGTTGGGTTCAACTCTTAGTTGTGTCAGGTGGGCTCCTCTCTAGCTGTGTTGTGGAGTCTCCTCTCAAATTGTGTTGAGGGGGGCTTTTCTCTCGTTGCCATGCTTTGGGGGGGGCACCTCTCATGTTGCGGTGGAGTGTTCCTCTTGAATTGTTGAGGAAGCTTCCTCCCTGGTAGCGATGTGCACAGGCACTCTTTCCAGGTGTGATACGCGCGAGCCTGCTCTCAAGTTTTGTCGTGGACCCTCCTCTTTAGTTGCAGCATGGGAGCCTCCTCACCTCCTCTCTAGCTGCGGAAGGAGACTTCTGTTAACTGCGATGTGCGGGAATTCTCTTCTCAAGTGGTGATGTTCAAGGGGCTGCTCTCTAGTTGTGACAAGATGACTCCTCTCTGACGGTGGTAGGGGGATCTACCCGCGTTGCAGCATGGCACGCATCTCTGTTTGTGTTGGAGGGGACCTCTGTAGGTGCGATGTCCAGGTCTCCACTCCATTTGGAGCGGGGGGACACTCTCCAATTCTGACCAGTGTGCTCCTCTCTCACTGTGGCCATTGGTTTCCCTTGAGTTTTGCTATAGGCCTCCTCTAATGATTAGGAGGGGCCTCGGGGCACCTCTCTAGTTGTGGTATTCCCTCCTCTGGGAGCTCTCTGTGGGGACGCTGTTCTCTCTACATTGAGCACTGGGGGCTCCTCACTAGTTTCCACGGGGTTGCTCCACTCCGGTTGTGAGATGCTTGTTTCGAGTTACTTCAGGGGCCTCATCTCTATCTGCAGCCGAGTGGCTCCTCTCTTGGTACAGTGTGTGGGAGGGCTCCTCTCTAGTTTTGGCAGGGGAATCCTCTCCACTTATGGCAGCGGGCTCCTCTGTTTGTTACCAGAGGCTCCCTCCTTGCGACAGCATAGAGCACCTGTTGTGTTGTGGTCGGGGACTTGGGTTTCCTCTCGAGTTGGGACAGGTGACTTAGGGTTCCTTTAGAGTTTTGTGGGGCCTCCTCTCGAAATGAGCGGGGCAGTTCCTCTCTAGTAGCAATTAACAGGCTGGCTCCTGTCTAGTTGTGATGTGTGGTAGGCTACTGTATTTTTACTACATGGGGTTCCACTCTAGTTGCTGTGGGGTCAACTGACGTTTTGGTTTCTGCTCCTCTCTTGTTCTGGTTTGCAGACTCCTCTATAGTTGTGGCAGGGGTGGGTCTCCTCTTTAGTTTTAGTATGGGGCTTCCTTTCTTGTTGTGGTAGAGTGCTCCTCTCGCATTGTGGTTGGGGTGGCTCCTCTTGGGAATCCTCTGGAATTGCATCAGGGGGCTTGGGGCTCATCTCAAGTTGCTCGCTCACACCCCTGCACAGACTTGCCTGCTCTCACACAGACTTGCATGCTCTCACATGCCCTCTCACGACCTCCCACACTCTCGCATGCCCTCACACGTTCTTGCATGGACTCACATGCTCTTGCACACCCTTGCATGCTCTCACACATCCCCACATGCACTCGCATGCCCTCGCACACTCTCACATGACCTCACATGCCTGTGCATGCCCTAGTACACCATCGCCCACACTCGCACATCCTCACATGCTCTTGCACATCCCTGCGTGCTCTCACACACCCTACATGCTCATGCATGCCCTAGAATGCCCTTGCCCATGTGCGCTTATTCTTGCATGTCTTCACAAGCTCTCTCATGTCCTCACATGCACTTGCATGCCTTCACATGGCCTTGCCTGCTCAGCCCTTGAATGTCCTTGCATGGCCTTGTAAGTCCTGCATACCATCACACGTCCTTGCATGGCCTTTCACGCATTCACACAGCCATGCACACCCTCACACATCCTCATATGCTCTTGCACATCATGGCATGCTCTTGCACACTCCTCACATGCCCTTGCACACTCGTGAATCCTCACATACCCTCACACACTTGCACAGACTCACATGTAGATGCACATCATTTTACACCCTTGCACACCATGAAAAGCCATCTCACACTCTCACACGCCCTTGCACACTTTTGCACAGCTTTGCAAAGTGTTGCACACTGTTGCACTTGCTTGTCCAGTCACACACAGCCTCGCACATCCTTGCACACCCTCGAATGGCATCGCAAATTCTTGCACGTCCTCCCATGCTCTCATAAGCCCTCGCATGCTTTCTAAGCTGAAATAAGTATGCACTTGATATATTCAGTTACTTTTTATTAATCAAAGAGACAATTCTATATGCACCTACAGCTCTAGAATGTTATTAATTAATGATAAAACTATACTTGAAACTTTCAATAACTTTCATCAGAAGAAAACAAAATTCTTAATTAATGCTTTCAGTAGAAAATAATTCAACAACATGGAAAATCGTATTTTCACAGCTATTAACACTATTCTGTAGCTCCCCTCAATACCAAAAGAACCTTATGATAAAGACCATGTTTTTGCTCAACACATACAGTATTTGTCCAAGCACCACAAAACACTTAAACCTGAAAAAAGCAGAATTATGTATCAGAACACTTAAACACATTCTGTTCTTAAACAAAGTTCTGTTAATGGTAAAAAAAAATGTTAAAGACCATGGCTCCACAGAGTGAGCTGAGCTAATGAGGGCCTGGCTTGCCCTGGCCTGTGGCGTCACTGCTCAGGGGAAGCCAGGGCTCCAGGCAGGCATGTGGTAGACAGGCTGCTCCCCAAGGAGGACAGCATGCCAGTCAGGGGTGGAGGCAACACCAGAGGGAGGGAAAAGGATGCTCTCTCTTAGGGGCCCTGGGCCCACAAGTCTAAACCCATTAGGCCAGACAGTGAGAACACTGAACCCCACACTTAGAATCCTCTGAGACACAGGCTCACCTGCTCCTGAAGCCTGTCCAGGTCTGTGACCACACAGACAAGTTGAGTGCTGGAAATGGAGACGATGGGCTTTGTTTCAGAAGGGCCACTTGCTTGGTCTTCACAATTTCCTTGGGTGATAGAAAGATCTTTGCTGCCAGTTACCAAAGGCTTTTTAATATCCTTAGCACTTTCATTAGAGATGGGCCCGAGTAAAAGCTGAAAAAGGATTTCAGCGATAAAACGTTTCCACCTGCAAGATACATGAGCATGTAACTCAACACAAAATGCCAGCTTTCTACAAAGTATTAAGTGAAGTTAACTCAAGAAAGGATACCACATCCTGTCTCTCCAGGTAGGTGTGAAAAACAGAAACAGGACAAACTTTGACCCTATGTGTATTTCCTCTCCTTGACTTAAGTAACAGCCAGAAAGAAAGCAAGAGGTCCTGAAACTAAAGGAAAATTAAGATCCGGAACATCATAGGTTTTAAAAAGTTAATTAACTGCTTAAGGTAAACAATTTACTGTATTTACTTAATAAATTATCATCATAAGGATAAAAAATAAAAGTCTCAACCTCAATTATGCTTCAAATAATACAAATGACATAAGTGTTCTCTGCATAATGGACTGCTACAAGGGAAAAAAAACCTAAGAGAAGAGCACTTGCATCGAGAAAAGAATGGAATATTCTAGGTGTAAGAATAATCACTGGCTGGCATCTTGCTGGGGATGATGAAGCAAGCCCAGGCCTCAGAGGATCATATTAAGTCCACGGTGTCCCAGGAACTGCACGATCTTCATGAACAGTTTCATAGGCAGGGTGCTCTACTGAGACTCCTCTGAGTAGAGGGAGGCAAAGGAGGAAGAGGAGAGGAACTTGGATGGAGCACCATTATCTGCTGGGCACCTTCATTATCAGTTCGCTGGGCAAGAAATCTCTTTACTCCTCACCTCACAACAAGCACATGTAGAAGCTGTGTTCCTCTTTTACAGACGAAGAATCTGAGATTCAGCCAATTTCCCTAAGACCACAAAATTAAAGAGCAGCAGGGCCAAGGTCTGACTTTGACTTGAAGCCTGTGCTTTTTCCACTGAAACACTCTCCTCCAGTTGACAGAGTGCTTCCGTGTCCATGGATGATGGCTTCTCCATGTCATCTTTCCTACACTTCCGCTCACGCTCTCTTATACTCATCACCTTGCACTGGCCGGGGTGTGTGTCTATCACTGAGCTGTCTGTGCAGCAGGCCTCTCTGAGACCTGGAGCGGACCTGGTGGGGCCAGGTGCTCTCAGCACTGGACCACATGAATGCTCCTGTGGCTTTATGCACAAAAACTAATCAGTCATCATAGGCATGTGAATACCTAATACAGCCAAGCTGAAAAGGGTTTCTGAAACAAAGGGAAGGTTAATCAACTTTACGACCTAATTTCCAAATATTAAGGAAAAAATATGCATATTTTTATCATCTCCATTAAAATGATCATCTCTGTTTTATGGTGCCTCTATATTAGAGGCACCATACAAAGATTCTGGCTTTTCTAAGGGAAAATGAGGTCAATGTGGTGCTTTTCAAAAGGACAAAGCAATAAATATGTGACAACTGATGCCCCTAAAGGTCACATAAACAAGAGTGAAAAGGAAATCCAGTGAAACCGATAGAAACTTGGGAAGTTGGACTATAGCCCTTGCATCAACCTTTCATGACCAGATGGGCTTTAAAAATCTTGGCATGTTTAGCTTAACTTATCTTTAATTCATTTCAGTCTTGATTAGGGATGAGCACCAGCCAGCCCTCACCTCCTTGACAAATATGGAGTACCGCGCCAGAATCTGCAGTGTCAATCTCCACAGACGATGAGCCAGCAGCAGCAAGAACATCTTGTCAGGCCAGCACCTCTGAAGGCTGCTCCACGTCCTATGAGAAGCCAAAAGGCAATACGAGCTTCCAGTTAGAGGTAAAAACACACAGTTAAGGAGTCACAGCAGAAGGGCTAACAGCTAAAATCTTCAACGGACAAGCCAAGAGTGAAGCCAATGACATTCTGAAGAATCCTATGAGGTCAGCAAAGATTCAGGGAGGAAGAATGGACAACCAAGAGGCCTGTAACACTGCGTTCTCATTCTACATGACTCCTTCTCCCAGGTATTTGATGCATATTAAACATATATAACAATAAGAAATAATCAGTTAACAAGTACTTTATAATAAAGCAACAAATGCGAATTGGAGTGGCAGTCATTTGCAAGGGTTTAATCTTTGGTTTTGAATTTGTCCTGTCTTCTCTTCTACTCCTGAATATGCTATTTAAATACAGGAAGTCAATTACACATGGCTACTTTTGCAAAGACAGCTGAAAATAAACTTTTGAGGCTGAAAGAGTGCAGTTTAGATGGAACTGGGCCGCACAAATGGGAGCACAGTGGAGTGGAGCTTTGTGGCTACAGGAACAGCCACCTAGGTGAGCAGTCACCAGGGACGCCTAATGCATGACTAGATGCAAACACGTCTGGAAAGTGTAGGCTGACCCCAGTCACCCGCCCACTGTTCCAGGACTGGGCCAAGGCCACTGGAGGCCTGAGGCAGCAGTCCGAGCTGAGAGTCATCCTCTGGAGGGGAGGGTAATTCTGATCCTCTACCTCAGCTTGAGAGGGAAGCAGAGGGTAGCCACAAGGCTACAAAAAAAGGCTGTCACTTAGGCACAGCAGGGGTTATACCCCCTTGACACATTATATTCAGAAACGAAAATGTGGTCTTCTTCTCGTGTTCTTAAAGGATCCTTTACATCGTCTCTATACAGCCGGAAGCTCTAGAAACCTTTTTTTAAAAAAGAACTTAAACTGTATCTTCAGGGTCTAACTTACTTCCCCGGTGGCTCCGACGGTAAATCATCTGCATGCAATGCAGGAGACCTGGGTTTGATCCCTGGGTCAGGAATGGCTACCCACTCCAGTAATCTTGCTTGGAAAATTTCATGGACAGAGGAGCCTGGTAGGCCACAATCCATGAGGTTGCAAAGAGTTGGACACGACTGAGCAAGTAACACTGCTGGAAGACAGCAAAAGGTCAAAGTGCTCCCAGGGCGCTAAGGCCACCAAGAAGACTTGGTGAAAGGAATTAGCCCGCTTAACGATAGCCTTTGTCACTCTGAGGATGTTACTTGGTGCATCTTCCAGGACATCTGTAAGTGCTGCTTCTAAGGATCCCGCTATTTCTCTAAATCTGAGAGAAAAACAAGAGTGGAAATGGCTGTTTTCTCTGCTTCAGGTGCCTCTCCCCCCAATCTCCCCCTCCCCAGGCAATAGGACCATTCTGCTTGCTCATAGCACCAGTGCCTCAGAGATGCCCCAGCAGCCCTGATGCCTGTCCTCCAGACTTTTTTTTCTTACTGAGCAGGAAATAAACTTATCTGAATTACTTGACCAGGAAGCCATTTCTGGCAAGTCCCACCACCTATAATCAAGTAATCACTTCAGGCCATAAGACTGGGTTTTCCAGTCCTCTTACCTACACACTATCAGAAGAAAGCAAATGTCCCTAAGAAATGGAAAAGCTATATTCTGTATCTTTGCAGCTTGAGACATATCACTGAAAGTAGGCAGTTAAACTAGAACAAGTCTCTGCCAGGCGCTCATCAAATGTCTGCTGCCTGTCTCTTGTGCTGCTATTGGTAACTGCATGCCCAGCCTGAGGCTCAGGATCTGCTTTCTGGATGGGTTTTCTGTTTTCTCTGCTGGGCCATTTGTCATTTCATACCATCTTCTCACAGCCTTCTGTTTTAATACCTGATGTGGACACATTTTTATGACTGTGAAATGAAACCGTGTGTGTATTCATTTCCTTAATTAGCTGCCTATGTAGCATCCTCCTTCCCACCTATATAACCCTTCCATGTTCATACTTTCTTTACCATACATTCTTCTGTCACCCACTAGTTCCCTTGCCACCGATAAATTCTGACACATACTTAACATCAATTTACCTAATCCACAGTCTTGGTTTTTGGATAGTACTTATATGCTTTTAAAAAGCAGTTCAGAGACTGATCTTCAGGAAACTGGAGAGTAAACGCAGCAGAACTTCATAGAAAGAGCAGCAGCCATGCCCTCAAAGGCATGAGCGGCTGAGAGCAGAGGACTCTGGCCCACCCTGCCTGCTGGAGCTGGCCGCTCCCCACAGCTTCCCTGTGCCACACGCAGGAAAGAACTCAGCAACTGCCCCGTGAAGCCTGCGAAAGGCGAGTCTCTCCAAGCAGCAGGGAAAGGCACAGAGGGAACAAGTGGCAGAAGAGAAGTGGAGGAAGAGAAGGGAGCACTGGAGAACCGCGAAGAAGGCGGTGCTCCTGAGCACAGTGGGGAGGAGAGGGCAGGGGCTGCCCTGCAGTGAAGAGGGCAGACCAGCTCCTGCATCCGCCTCAGACCCCGAATCCCACCGTTTGCCCACATCTGTTAACACACAAAACACAGGAAGGAAGCTTCAACACAGAAAAGGCCTGACACTACACAGCATTGTTCAGAACGCAGAGAACCAGAAGCCACCTTCACAGCCCCAAGGAAGGGAAGGTTTCCGTAACATGCGGCACAGTTCCTACTGAATGCAGCGTGAAGAGAGGTCAGCTGGAAGTTCTGCGGCCATCAGAGGAACAGGTATAATTTAGTGTAAGTAAGGACACAGGATAAAACTGTATGTATGCCACAACAATCTGAAAACCATACAAATGAGAAAGTGCAAGACACAAATGCAGCAGACCCCTAACATTAATGCCTTTAAACAGACGTGCAGATAACGTGTGACCAGGTGTGAGATCCCTAAGACTAAAACTGTCTATGTCATGCGACCCAGCTGTCCCCTCTCCCTACCCTCCAGGAGTCCAGCACCAGCCCCTTGAGTAGCTTTGTTGGCCAGTAACTTCCAGGATTTAGGTGTTAGGTTGTACTTCTTAGAAAATAAACAAAGTGAGATGTTACTTTGGTGAAATTTGAAGTTATGCTATAGTTTTCACATGTATATGGGATGCCATTCTACTCTTGATAGAGGATTTGTAAGAAAGGCAACCCCAAATGCAAACACTCCTAAACTCTTCCATTTGGGTATGGGGATGATCTGGAGACACACACCCCCTCCCCCACGCACGGCTCTACTGATGCATGGACACAACCTGAGGACGGTGGAGGGGAAGGAAGGCACATCAGTACCACACAGACTCCACGCTGTAAAGCAGCTACACCATGCTAAGCATGTGCTGAGTGGAACAGAGAACACACATGTGACGGTCCTGGGAGCATACACCATTCTAGCAAGAGTTCAATTAAAAGACATACCACTGCACAACAGAATGGTGTTCTATAAAGCGTTACTTGAATTTGTTTTTAAGTGGAAGAGCAAATGCACTGAAAACAGGTTCCACACTTCATAACTCAAACATAACTTTTTAAATTTCATCAATTTTAAATAAAACTATTCACAAAGAAAAGTTAAGCAATTCCTTCGAATGCTTATGGCTAAACTCCGGTGAAGATTAAAAATGTCTCTAATGCCCCGGCACCCCGCCCCCGCGACTTGAAGGGGCCAGGGCTGAGGCCGCCTCAGAGCCTTAGAGTCACGCGCGCGGGGCGTGGGGCGGTGCTGCGGACTCGAGCCTGAGGCACGGAGGCTGAGGCGAGCTAGATGCCAGAACAGTCCAGGGAGCTGCAGCGTGGCGGGAGCCCGTAGCCAGAGCAGTCCCGGAGCAGAAATGGCCGCTGCCACCGCTGTCCGCGGAGCCCAGCCGAACTGGCCATGGCATTGTCGATGCTGCTGAACGGGTTGAAGGAGGAGGACAGAGAGCCCATCATCGAGCTCGAGTCAAGGCTGGCAGTGATGGTGAAAGCACAGGAAACTGCCCCTTTTCCCAGAGGCTCCTCATGATTCTTTGGCTCAAAGGAGTTGTGTCACAACTGTTGACCTGAAAAGGAAGCCTCCAGACCTGCAGAACTTGGCTCCGGGGACCCACCCACCATTTATAACTTTCAACAATGAGGTCAAAATGGATGTAAATAAGACTGAAGAATTTCTTGAAGAAGTCTTATGCCCTCCCAAGTACTTAAAGCTTTCACCAAAACACCCAGAATCAAATACTGCTGGAATGGACAGCTTTGCCAAATTCTCTGCATGTATCAAGAATTCAAGGCCAGAGGCTAATGAAGCTTTGGAGCGGGGTCTCTTGAAAACACTGCAGAAAGTAGATGAATATCTGAATTCTCCCCTGCCTGATGAAATTGAAGAGAATAGTATGGAGGACATTAAGTTTTCCACATGTAAATTTCTGGATGGCAATGAAACGACAGTAGCTGACTGCAACCTGCTGCCCAAGCTGCACATTGTCAAGGTGGTGGCGAAAAAATACCCCAACTTTGATATTCCAAAAGGAATGACTGGCACCTGGAGATACCTAACTAATGCCTAGAGTAGGGATGAGTTCACCAAAACCTGCCCCAGTGATAAGGAGGTTGAAATAGCATACAGTGATATCGCCAAAAGACATCAAAAGACATTACCAAATAAAAGAGGACTTACGAGAGAAATGTCTTCACATCTTCCCCTGACTAAGAACATACTTTTCCTAACAGACTGCTCCTCTTCCTAGAAAGTAGAAACTTTATTTGGCAAGAACATGCAGTTATTCCAGATTAGGATAAAGCATAGACAAGGTATAGTAGCTGTCTTGAAATATATATACTCCTAAGCAGTAGTACTTTGAAATTTCCTTTACTCTGCCTATATCCCCTAGCCTGTATCCTCGTCTCCTCCAATTTGGAGACACTCCATCACAAACTTTCACTTCAAAAATAGTTTGCCATCTCTCTGGAACCTTCATCACTGGAGTCCATTCACTGTGTATTGATGACAGAACTTTTGAGGTCCACTGTTCAACTGTTAAAACAGTAACTGTAAAAAAATAAAAAAAATAAATAAAATAGTAAAAAAAAAAGTCTTTCATGGGACTGGCTGAGTTTCAGCATAGTTTAAGACTCAATTACCAGCTTTGAGAGAACCTATGATGAGAGGAGGATGGGCTGAGGCCAGGCTGTGCTACCCTGCAGGGCCCAGAGCTCCAGAAGGCAGAATGACATGACAGTGCAAGATTACCAAGTGTGGGGGTCTGGGGTCAGGGGAAATGACTAGCTAAGAGGTGTTTGGAGGCAGTAAACAGGAGTATGGGCTATGATGATTATTAGATATCTAAAGCAATCTAAGCCAAAACGTAGACTAGAGGAGACACGGAAAGTTTAAATATTATTTCTCTACTGCACTCTTAAGTATAAAGCTCAGTATTGTATGTAAAAGAGCACCATACTAACGGCCTGACAGCTTTCATTTCATCATCAAAAGAGGATTATATACATTCTCAATCACGGCAAGTCAAGGGATTTAATATATTTCCCTCTCTGTAATTATTCCTCAGAACTCCAGAGGAGGACTGCATCATAATTAATGAAAGCATCCAGGAATTTAAGCAAAAAGCTTGCAAGTCTTTAAAAACCATTCTAACTAATAAAATGCTCTAGTTAACACCATTCTATGGAGGAACTCACTGTGATCTCATTCAAGAGAATCTTTTTCTAGGGGAACATACATTGTTAAGAAGCTATCCTAAATTGCCCCCCAAATGTCTACAGGACCACTTACTGACACTGGTGATATCATTATGCTATCTGGAAGGAAAGTGTCACCATTTTCCAGAATACTCACCAAGATTATAAAGGAAGCCAAAAATAATAACTACAATTCTTATACATTGATGGATGAAATCAGCTACAAAGAATATTTCAAGAAAAAGCACCTTTTCTGATTCCCTCTGAGGATAAAAATGTTACAGATGAGCAAAACTACAGATGAAGGATAGGTCTGCTACTTGAAGCAAGTGATGGAAGAGGAAAATGGAGAGGAAGGGCTGCTAGGTGACCAGCTCTCTGTCTCTTCATGGTGAATGAAGACATAGCGCCTGGGAATGAAGCTGGGCCTGGTCTAGCTCCCTTGGAGGCTAGCATTCTCAGCTTGCTAATGACAAGAGAGTAAAACTTAATCCTTTTGTCATACAGGCCAGAACTTTGGCAATAATGATACTTCTTGTGCGTTTCTGCTCTAAATTGTTTCCCAAGGAATAATACGATGATCTCCAAGAAGGGGCTGTGAGATGGGAGTTCAATCCATCTGAACTGGTGTTCAAATTCTATTTCAGA